TCCAACTCATTTGCGATCAGTCTGGTGATACCTGGCGAGATTAAATCCCCTTTTTACAGCAAAAATGCAGAAAATTAACAGTTTCCAGCCTTCAAATGTGAATATTTGCTGCTTTTCTTTGTCTCTTATGAAAGCAAACTGAATATTTTTGGTCTGAACACTATTGTCTGAACAAATAATAAATAATGAATATCTATAAAGAAAATAAAGGTCAGTTGCAGCCCTGATCCAACTGTTATTTAACTGTTATTGTTGTGCGTCTTTATCAACAGTTTTTAGTGTTGACAGATTTGTTTGTCAGCCGGCAGTTGAGCTGCTCAGAAAGACGCTGTAAACAAAGATGTGATAAAGTTTGCCAAGAAAAGTGTTTATGAGGGATTATCTCCAACAGAGGGAAATAAAATCAGAGCGTTACATAAACAGAAAGTGTCTTTAAGTTTCCTGTGATTGATGTTGAACCCTTTCTCTCCAAAACAGAAACCTGCAAACTAACAGCTGTGGAACGCAAAATAGAAATGAGGGTGTTTTCTATTTATATACGTGAACCGAAACATCAACTTTCACATAGAAGAGAAGAAGGATAAAGTTAACTTCCTGTTTCATGGTGATATGTTTGAGGCCAAGCCACGGGCACGCCGTTTAACACACCGTAACAAAGAGCACAACCTTTAATCGTGATGGTCTTTAGAAGGCACTGACTACTTTTGAAGTCGATCCGATCAATAACCTAGGAGGAGTTTGTTTAAATACAATGCATAAAATCGCCCAAAACTGCAACTAAATTCAAAATAGTAGTTTTTAATGAGGTAGAAGGAGGGGAAGACATGCGTAGATTGTTAGTGATGATATTTATGTGGGTTTTTTTAGTGTGTCGTGTGTAAACAGTGAAAATCACACTCAGTATTGGGCTTATTTATTAAAAATGTTTTAATTTAATACTCTTTTAAAAAGTAATGTTGTTACTTTAATTATTACTCCCTGCCAACAGTAATTAGTTACACTACCTGTTATATTAGTTTTCTGTAGGGCTGCGCGATACGGTAAACAATAAATCATATTGATATGATTCACGATTAGTGTTGGATGATTATTTTTTACCACAAATTAAAATTTATTAACTAAAATAAATATTAAAATAATGATGGAGGTGACTTTTTTTGTCTGTAAATGCAAAAAAAAGTTAAATTATCGGTTATTATCATCGTGCATCCCTGATATACTTGTATTTGTGTGTTTAATATATATTGATGAAGCACTTTGTGTGTTTTAAAACGTGTTTATATAAATAAAACTTTACTTATTTACTGCGTAAATTAATATTATTACTGTAATAGAGTTACTACCACACTGATTATACTTTTTACTTTTACCGTGTTACATTTCCCACAAATATCTCTACTTTATACAACTTACAGCCTCTTTACAGCACTTTTAATGCATTTGAGGGGGGATTATTGATTATTTATTTGTGTTAATAGCTGACGGCAGCTGGAAACCCGATAAAGACGATGATGTTTTATATTGTACTGAAATCGTTCTTAAACCTGCTGTTATCTTTTAGTTCCTCGTTGCGTCATTCAGCTCCACTAAGCTGTGTGTCGCTGTGCCTGGTACAGGAGGAGGAGGAGGAGGAGGCGGAGGAAGGAGGCACAGAGGAGTGGAAGGGTTTGTTTGTTAAATTACAACTCAGACTGAAGCCAAGAGGAGAAATTTATATGATGAGAAGACTTTTTCGGTTCTGCTTCAGCTTGTTTTTAAGCTGAACGTCCAACAGAGTTTCAACGCTCAGCTGTTCTCTGGGTTTCATATCCACAGCGTTGGCGTTGACTTCCATGGGTTCATTTAAAGTCATATTACAGTGAACTTATATGTTTAAATATCATTTAGGGGTAAGTTTTCAGTGTTTCTGTCAACCGTTCAGACGTCGATGTGTCTCCGTCCCGACTCCAGTTCTGCCTCAAACTTCCTCTTGTTTGTGGTGAAGGTGGTAATTTAGTCGCCCCGTCTGGTATAATCAGTGCAGAGCTTTGGCCCCACAGATGTCTCGTGTCCGGAGGAGATTTATGACCCTTCAGCTACACATAAACAAACACGTAGACGATCTGCGTCGATCGTGGGCACTGGATGTCTTACGTGTTCCCGCCAAGCAGCTGCAGCGGACCCGGTGAACAGCACGTCCAGACCGGGACCGAATGCAGCATCTGATCTAGTTTGAAAGCAGGGAATAAATTACTGAGGTAGCTGCACAAACTATTGATTGACGGGTGAATGTCAGGATATTATTGGTTGAAACACTTATGTCAGGATGTGTTTGTACACAAATTGTTAATCAGAGGAACAATATAATGGAGGATGAGATCTTAAAGGGTTAAAATGAAAATGTTCTTGGTCTGTAAACTCCAGAAAGGTCTCGGGGTCGAGGAGAGCGCTCTCAGTCTGACTCTTGTGTTGAAGTGTGTGTTCAATAGTGAGCTCTGTGTTGGTGACTCTGAACCACCGAGGCCGGTCAGACAACCCAGTTTCTGAACGTCTGTGTGAACTGGGTCAAAACTTCTGACGGCACAGCTTCGACCTGTTTGTGTCCGAGCATCATTTTAATAACAGCGTCTGCGTTGTTGACGTCCGCTGGCTTCGTGATGTGATCCAGACTGTGGAGGAAACTCTGCAGGAATAATCAGGATACGTTTCTGTGACTTTGGTTGTTTCATATATATTTAACTTTTAGGATAATAAGTTTAATTAAAACTTTATGTACATTCCTGAAGCAGCACAATGTGGCTCTGTGGTGCTTCTATATTTAACAAAGCTTTTGTGTCAGGTCCTTTTTTTAATTTTGCTTTTACAAGCAGATGTACTTGAAGGCTTTTGTTCATGTTTACAACCTCGAGGGAAGTCTTGAAGGCACCATAACGTAGTTTCATGTCATTTAAAGTCTGGTGATTATTGTGTGTTTGTGTGTGTATCCTGATATTTGTTCTGTTATAAACTATTAAAACCACATTAAGAGATTCCTTCACGCCTTGGTGACCGCAGTGGTGGCTAACGTACTATAGCCGGCGAGCTACAGGGAAAATAAAACTATACAAGGTAGCAAGCTTGCTAATGGTCAGTTACCAAGCTTCGCTCTGACAGCGAGTTCACACAGTTTATTTAAAAGATGTATTATTGTCTGTAAAGCCTTTGGTGGTGGTGGTGGAGCAGTTTATACTAATACATGTTGATGGCTCCAATGGCTTCCTCCATATCGGACTCTTTGTTTGCGGCGTGAATCAACACAACGCGGCGATTACGTGGAAATTAATTCATTTTGCTGCTAAAATTTGGAGTTTAAATCCTATTGTGATTGGACCTCAAACTGACATACGGCCTCTTGTAGTGATAAATACTCTCTAAAGCATCAAATGTGGATTCATCCACCAATGAAAATAGTCCCCTGCTTGTCCAGCTGTTTCAGGAAACTACTGAACTCTCTCTATACCATCCTTCCCCAGCAGGCTTACAAGTTTTAAGGCTTAAAACCAGACAGAACAATAAATGTGAGGTCTTTATAACGTCTCTCCCTTCAGTCTGTTACAGTCTGCAGTATCAGAGCCTGACCTGGTCTTTGTTAAGGTTTCATCCCGCTCTGTTTATACTCAGTAATACCTTCCATCTGGCCCAACATGTCTTTCCCATCGCATATTCTCCTCCCTCTGTCATCCCTGCAGGTCGCCCTCGGAAACTGGCACAGGCAGCGTTTGTAACAGTAACCCATTTACAGTGACGGGGAATGTGGGTCGGATGCACGGGCACCGCGCTCACGCCACCGGCCTCCACTGCCGGGAGGAACCATCGAGCCGGGCCGCCATATTTCACCCAGATTTTCATAGATTTATTGGACAGTAAGAGGCCATTACTGTATGGAGGAGGAGGGGGAGAGGAAGTGGAACAAAACACACAGTGAGAGAAAGAGAGATGCTGCGTTCAGGTCGGGTTGGATTTTCTGTAAATATGAGCGTCAACGCAGAAGGAGACGTTTTGTGTGTTTTTGAGGTGGAATTAGCAGCAACTTGTACTTAAAGAATAAATCTTCTCGCTTCCTTCTCGTCTCTGTTGAGAGTCGCACATGCTCAGTACCGATCGGTGGGTAAAGACAAAGTTTATGAGCTGAAACACAAGCGAGGATTTGTTTGAGTTTGAGAGCTCGGTGGATAAAATCGGGGAGTTTTTGTGGGAATGGATATTTTTGCATCATAACTTTAATTTTTGCATTCAACGATTAAAATCCTGATTATTTGTTGGTGTCAGAACAAGATTTGTAAGCCAGGGTGTCTCTGCTGTCTGCGACGTGGATATGTCACGTCAGGGTTGTCGTAACGTATAATTTAAGGATTTAGCCTCATTTTAGTGATGAAAAAATACGATGTTTAAATAAAACAATGTATTAATTTATAATGCCACCTTCCTCTTGGGTAGTTTCATCTACAACAATGAATCTTTTTATGTTTAAGGTATATAATCTGTAATTAGTAACAACAGCGTGAAGTAAAGTTGCATAAATTATCTCAAATTTGTACTTTGACAGAGTTATATAAATATTTATCTTCTAATCTGCAAAAACTACTTAAAACGGATGTCAAATTAATCTTTAAAGGGACAAATAATATCATTTAATAAGTCTGAAATAGTGAATACAGATACCTTAACCTGCCCTGATTGTACAGCTCATATATTACCCTTATTAAAATATTGATCTATTGATTTCCTCTAATAGAGAGCGTGAGAGAGCTGCTCACAGAGGCTTTGTTATCTCGTCCGCTCAGATTGAGGTTGTGATTGTAGGACTGGTTTTGCGGGTGTAATCCTGGAGGATTTGAACCCCCCCCCACCCCCCACCCTTCAGTCCGGATCATGATCAGCCAGGCCAGCTTAGAGGGTCTGAGGGTCTACAGCATCTGTCACCGCCTGTTCACGTCACGCTCGGCCCCAAAGTTCATGTAAATCTGTGTTTGTCTTTTCAGATTCAGCATCATGGGGAAAGGCTGCCTGACAGCGACCAAGTACTTCCTGTTCCTCTTCAACCTCATCTTCTTTGTGAGTGTTTCACCCTCATTAGTGATCAATGATAATGTGCCATTAAAGGAGAAATCTAACACACTGTTAAAGATGTTTTCTGCTTCCTGCGATAACTGGACACACGTAGAAACGCACTGATGTTTGTAATAAAAATACATTTAGTCCAACAGTCTGTAAACTTCCTCAACATGTGCTAATAAAATATAATATTAATGATTTAAGGCTTTAATTTAAACAAAAAGGAACAAAAAGTTCTTTTTTTAGCCTCAGATTTTGCTGAATAGATAACAGATTTATCCACTTTATCCAGCTCGCTAATTAAATAACATTAACTTTATATTAATTGGTTGAATATGTTTTAATGTTTCCAGCTGACTGCTGTGTAAATGGGTTTTGAATTAGCACCTGAAGGCTACATAATAACCTGTAATCCCACAAGATATGCTACCGGTGGCAGTTTAAACAGCTGCTGTTTAATCTGCTCCTTGTTGGTCTTTGCAGACTATAAATCCAGATTAACTGATGAATTTGACAAACAAAAACACAACCTCTGTAACATTTACTAAAGAGCAGGACGGAGCCGCTGACGTTAGGATTGGCTTCCACACAACGGGGAAATACTACATTACTACTGTTACTGATTTTATTTTATGACCTGTAATCCCACCAGTAGTAGTAATGTAATGTAGTTTAATGATTTGCTACTTGGCCGTGGACTCTGGTTTACTACAGTTGGCAATAGCTGGACATGCTAACGATAGCAGCTAAAGCAAATAAAGACATTGTTTAATCTATTCTTTACACTTTTGCTCCTTGCAGTTTCTTTTCAGGGTGAATTTAAAATGGTAGATGGCAAGTTGAGCTATTTTTAAAGCCACAAAATGCAGATTTTCATACATTGTAACAGCAGCATTGATGTGTTTCATCAGGTTACAGTCGTATAATCCAGTTTATAGCTCAGAAACACGTCGCAGGCGGAGAACATCTGAAAGTTTCGTCTGATTATATATTCTCTGGTTGTCTTGTTAATCACATTAGATGTTAGGAAGTGGTTTTAAATGAGCCAACGTCCTGTTTGCAGTGTGGTGATAATGTGCTCTGTCTCTGGTAATAAATCCTGAGACTGACGGAGGAACAACGCAGGTTCAATGCAGCCTCATTAAACTTTATGAACAGCTTGTAGGAACGAGATGTGAACTATTCATTCCCGTTCTCTTTCTGTCTGTGAGTCTTAATTACGGCGCAGATGAAGTGATTGTGGCCCAGTTACCAGGGTGATAACTCGCTGTCTCGTTTCCTCTCTCTATCTCCCACAAAGTGAAATCTGTGATCTGAGCTCTGTGTGCATGTGGGGGTGCGTGTGTGTGTGTGTGTGCGTGTGCGTGCATGTGGGTGTGTGTGGGTGTGAGTGTGTGCTCTCATTAGAAAACGGAAATACGTAACAGGAAGAACACAACCAGGGGAAAACCTTTAATTTACATACTTTCTATTGAATATTTTCCTGTTTTTAATTTAAGCTCCAGAAATGTATTTTTACACACTGTTTGTGCTGCAAGGACCAAAAATGGAGATACTAAAATGGGCTGTAGCTTCCACTGAGGTTTATATATATATATATATATATAATATATGAATGTGTGAACTTCAGCAACATGAAATGAGCATTTTACATTTTAAAGTTGCACAAAATGGCCTTTTAATGAGCATCAATAATCTTATATCCTTTGATTTGACTGTTTAAAGGTCATTAAAATGTGGATTTATAGCTGCACACCTTCAATATTTAACTATCAGACACTGAAAATATTTAAAATCTTGTTGCAGTGATCACAGATCTGTAGGTATGTGAAGTTTTATGTGTCGTCACATTAATATTAAGAATTGCAGAGGTTGTTGCGCTTCTATATTTGGCAATATGCAACAAAACTGTTATAATGTGAACATAATATGACTAACAGGAACTGACAGATATCCATATTCTGATATATTTATCAGCATTTATCCATATTGCTAACTTTCCACATTGGTTATATGACGCAAAGCTATCTTTAGCCCCTTTATGCTACTCACAAAAACAGAAACTATACAAATAAATGTGATTAAAAATACATGTTTACATGGGTGCAGAGGAGGTTGAGCTGTGTCTATACAGACAAATACAAGTTTAAACTGTCAAACTATATTTGTGTCTGTTATTTATTGATGACCTGACTGTGTTTTTCCATTAAAACCAGAGATTTGGATGAATTTTGAGCAGATTATTTCCTGTTTAGGGAACTTTTTTTTATACAATTCTGTCTGTATTATGTATTTTTATAATTTATAACAATCCTACATACTTAATAGGCTTCTTTTTTCACAGAAATTAACAAAATACTGATATTTAGTCACTATTGTGTATATTTTTAAAGTTTTCTTACACTCCTTAAAATCAAGAAAGTCTCGCAACCCCCTCATGAATCTTTGGTGACCCCTAGTGAACCACTGTGTTACAGTACATTTAAAGTGTGTATTTCTTGTGTGTGTGTGTGTGTGTGTGTGTGTGTGTGTCCTCCAGCTGTGCGGGGCCGTCATCATGGGCTTCGGACTGTGGCTCCTCCTGGACAATCAGAGCTTCATCGTGGTCCTCAGTAAGTTAACGTCCCTTTCCTCTCAGTGGAACGAGCGCTGATGTTCACCTCGTACCACCTGATTCTTCTTTCTTGTATGTTTTTGATATAAATTGTAATTATCACTGCAGCGAAGTCGGATTTCTGTGACTTAAGACGGGATAAAACCCTTCGATGTCGCTCTGCTGGCTGGATTTCAGAGCCATGAGTACAAAAGCACAAACAGCCAATATGATGACGTCGGACCCTTTACACTGATCCACTTGTAGAGCGCATGTAGGCCAATACAAATGGAGCCACGATTAACGGGCTGAAAACAGGCCAAGTTCTGGCTGCAGGCTGCCAGTGTGCTTTTAAATGTGTGTGAGAGGAAGAAGAAGAAACAGGCAGCACACTTTGGGCACACAACATTTTATTGTTTGGTTTGATAAACTATAGATGAATCTGGGTTGTAGTAGAAAAGCCGTCCTCACTGCGTATACAACCGTAAAATGTCAGTTTTTAAGCTCTTTTTATCCTGTAGAACCGTTTATATGGTGAAAACTGGTTTTAATCTACATATCTACATAAGATGGGTGCTTATTGTTGTTGGCAGCTACAACAACAATCTGAACAACAGAAAGTAAAAGTCATGAAGTCATGATGAAACCAGTTTTACATTCTTAAATCTTGGTTTCTATCTTTTTCACAGCAGCCATTTTGACATGAAATAGTAGGTTAAACACAGGTACATGATACTATTTAAATACTTTAAATACTATTTAAAGCTATAATCAGTAATACTTCCTCATTAAACAGTGTATAAACTCTGGCTCTATGTTCTTTATGTAGTTGAGTTCTTCCATTATCCCAAATGTTTCCAACAATGTTCAAACTCAGAGAAATCTGTCATTTTATTCAGGTAACGCTGCGTTTCACCGGTCGCCTGTCGATGGCGTCATATCCCCTTTGTGCCTGCGTCAGCGTTGTGGTTGTCTGCCAGAAGCTGTCATACATTGACTGTTGATCCAGTCTGAAGCCACATTGTTACCATCCACTGTTTAGATCTTGGTGCTTTTTAACTCTAGATTTGAACCGGATGAAGGATTTTAGTCATTCTGATTTGAGAGTGGCAGCAATGACAGATTTTACGTTTTAAAGTCAAGCTGGAAAGGCTCTGAGACACTAAACATGTTCTTAAAGAGTATCATTGGTGACGGCTGTGTTTACCCAACTGTCTAATGTCAGAATGGCTGCTGTGAAAAAGGTCTATTAGCTCCTCCCCACTGCAGTTTCACAGACGTGGTGCGTTCTGTTCTTTGAATAACTTCCACATTCGCACAGACGACCTTCATCTGTAGGAGATTAACCCAAACATCTCTGCTCCCAGCGTCACTGTAGCTGTGCAGTACTGGAGTAATACTGGAGTAATACTGGAGTAATACTCCATTACTGAAGGCTGCTGGTCTTTTTAATTGGATTATTCCATCCGTGTTGTGGATTTCAGCTGTTTAGTGTCCAAAGTTTTGAGCATGACTCTGATAACCGACATTCCTTCGTGCTGTTTATCAGTCGGTGTGACGCTGATGGAGGATAAAGGTCAACACGCGTCGGTGTTTACATGAAAGTCGGTCCTGAGGTCTGTTTTCCACCATATGAGACCGGTTAGTTAAACACAAGTGTCCAGCAGATTTCCTCCATTTTCCTTTTCTTTCTGTCTGCTCGTCTGGACTGTGTTTAAAAAAAGAAATTCCTTCAAGTCAAACAACAAATCTTTTCTTTCTCTTTCTTTTCCTCCTCCGTGTTTTTCTCATTACGGCTTCTTTTACTCTCTGACACGCTGTTCAAAGACTAACGAGTTCATTACTTCACATAATATTTTAACTGCTGAAAGAAATAATAATGCATGTTGAATTTGGAACGAGTGCCAGCAGGTGATTAGCTTAGCTTAGCACAAACACTGGAAGCAGGGGGAAACAGCTAGCCTCTGATTAAAGTTTTAAAAATATCTCTAAAGCTGAACTTTTTACACCTAATTTAATTAAATTAGTTTGTGTTATACTGTGATGTCCTATAATAGTCAGGCTAACTAGTTTCACCCTGCAGTGTTTCTGTTTATTTACATTGATCTGTACAGTGTTTGAGGCAGTGGCTCTTAGAAATAGAGCTGAAAGCTGAACTTTCTAGGGGATATTTGGGGCATTAAAGAAGTTATTTTTTCCACGACTTTTATTGTAGACCCCTCAGAAGGGTTAGTACTCAGTTGTTCCCATTTCAGACGCTGGTTTTAGGATTATATCTTGTATTTAAGACTCTTTATTTATACATATATGGTTTTACATTAAAATGAGTCGACTGGAAACATTTGAAAGTCAGTCACTGAGTTGGCTTTAATAAACCAGCCAGCTACAGCTGATAAACACTTTATTTATTCATTTATTCGTTTATTTACTGGAGACGATGCACATTAATCAACATTACGGTTTACACTTTAATGTAAATGTGCCAGAGTTAAGCTAAGAAGCTACCGTCAACCCATACTATAAGAACAATACTTGAACTCCAGGTCTGTACGAGACGTGTTTCAATCATCTCACTCGTGGAAAGAAAGCACATTTTGAAGTTTCAGTCAGTTTTGAAATAGAGTTTATCAGAGAGGAGCAGTGTGAGCGGGACAGAAAGACGAGTGAAGAAGAGTTGGTGCAGAAATATAGAGACAGACATTGAGCTGGTGTGATAGAGAGACCGCCTGTGTGTGCGAGAGCGTCACTGAGGACGTCTGTCCCTCGAACCGTGGCCTCTCTGCAGGTGTCCTCCCCGCAGACACTGGGCCCTTTCTGCTCCCTCCAGCATCAGCATGCATCACATCAGCCCAGTGCGCTCACCGCCTTACTCATCACTACACACACACACACACACACACACACACACACACACACACACACACACACACACACACACACACACACACACACACACACACACACACACACACACTACATCACCGGTCTGTCCGAGCACAGCGGCGGGAGGACAGACACGAGTCCGCGGGACTTCATCGAGGTCGGGGAATGTGGTCATACGAGTCAAACCCCGCGTGGAGCCGAGGGTTAAAGCTAGCAGCTGACACATAAATGAGACGTATTGATGCTCAATGGAACATTTTATAAAGCGACCAGTGGCCTCGTAATGGGCTCGCAGATGATTGCAGAGGTTTGGAGGGTGAATCAATGAGCTGCCTGACGCCTGATCAGTGTGTGTGTGTGTGTGTGTGATGAAGTCAGCGTCGGGCTGCTGAAACCTGATTGTTTAAAGGCCGAGCTGAGTCACAACGAGTCCTCATCTCTGCTGTAAAAACCAAATCTCACATTTATTAAAGGTCCAGTGTGTTGATCTGTTGTCATCAGAAATATAATATAATATTCACAGGTATGTTTTAATTAGTGTATAATCACCTGAATGTAGGAATAGTTGATGAGATGTTGAACCAACACCAAACACTGGTTGTTCAGTTAGTTGCAGTCTGAAACTTCACCGTTAGATATAACTAAATCTTTTACACTGGTCCTTGTTTAAAGCAGTGGTTCCCAACCTGCGGGTCGGGACCCCCTCTAGGGGTCACCAAAGCTTCACTGGGGATCACAAGGCCTTCTTTAAAGGGTGTAAATCTGAGCATTTTGTTCATTTCTGTCACGAAAACTAAATGAAATTGTTGTTTTTAAAGTTTAGATTATTATTAAAGATCTAAACTTTAAAGCTCTAAACACAAACTATATTCAGAGGCTATATAAGTCTGTTTGATTGTAAAATACATAATAAAGACAGAATTGTTTAAAAAGTGCTAAAAATATCAGAAAAATGGATCTCTGATCGATATTTACATCAAATTATCTGCTCAAAAATAATATAGAAGCCAGTATTTCCCCAAGTGTGTGTGTGTGTGTGTGTGTGTGTGTGTGTGTGTGTGTGTGTGTGTGTGTGTGTGTGTGTGTGTGTGTCACATAAACACACACACATGCAGGTATTCATTTCCTGCCTTACCCCCCCCCATAGCCTAATTTTCCATCATAAACTCTCCTCGTTTGTCTTTGTCTGGATTTTGAGCAGCGTGCCCTGGTTCACTGATCCCCCGGGGGTATCCCATGATTCCTTGAGGCCAGGAGGAGTCTGCGAGGGTGTGTGTGTGTTGGGGGGGGGTCCGGTCTATAAAACAGTGCGCTGGCTGGCAGACATCAACAGGCTGACGTGTCCCTTCCAGCAGTTTCTGTGCGACTCGCTGTGTCAGATCCAACCGGGTCTGAATTGTGTCTTATTTTAGCTTCCTGCGTTACGTTGGATCTCGATCAATCACCACAAGTGGAGCGCTGCAGCCGCACATTTGCTTCTCATTTAATTCATATTTGATGATCGCACATGTTGCTGAGTTTGTCTGGTTTCAGTTTCCACCAGTTTATAGAGTTCAGATTATCTGCGGCTCTTCTTCTGTCATTAGATGTTAAATCAATTCGAAAATACACATTAATCAAACATAAAACAGCCACTGAATCAGCGGTTGTGTGCTGCTCTGGTGGTCAGATGTTTAATCTAATTTCTACTTTCATTAAACCGTCGTTAACAGCAGCCGTTTAATACAATGTTCCTGTATTTAATTTGAGCCATTTAATCAGCCAACGCCACGAAGCAACCGACGTCGGACCCATCATTTATTGTTAATGTTTGTTATAATACATCGTTAGAATCATGTATCACGATAGCCAACTAACACATCCACTCTGAGCCAGCGAGCTGCAACCCAGCCACGCCAAACAACGCTGCCGGCACCGACTAACGAGCTGTATCAGTGTTGAGCTAACGTGTGGTTTCTTTATTGTTTCTAACAGATAACTTAACGACTGTAAAGGTCGCCTGCTACATCCTGATTGGAGTCGGGGCTTTCTCCATGCTCATGGGCTTCCTCGGCTGCCTGGGGGCCATCTATGAGATCCGCTGTCTGCTCGGCCTGGTGAGTGACGCTTTGTTAGACGTGGTGAATAACGCCGCCGTAGAGCGAGCGGAGGATTTAATGTGGAGATATAAACGTTTCCTCCGGAGGATAAAAATACCGTAAAACTTCTCCCCCTGCCTTTATTGGGGACAGGCCTCTATTCGGGACAGGCCTTTAATTCCTTTAGCACTAAACTCTAACGGCTGCTTCTCTCGAGGTTTGTTCAGCGAATTTGACAACTAACATGATGATTATGATGCTTCAGAGGTTTCTTTCCGTCTCTCTTGTTTACCGTGTTACCGGTAACTCATAATTTTATTTTTAAAAAAAATAAAAAAGATATAACTAACGTTGTTCATTATGTACTAGAAGTTTAAACATTATATTTGTGTTGTTAAAACGACTTAAAACTTTAAGAGGCGACGGGTTTTAATAAGTTTTTTACATCGAGATTTTAAAATCCAGACCAGTCTATTGGAGACCAGTGTTTTTTTGTCCCAGCTTGTAGCCAACCGGGTTTTAAAAGAGAGGGACTGTTTATTGGAAGGACCAACAACCCTCTTTGGTTTAACTGATCGAGAAGTTCAACAGATGGAGAACTGTCCCGAACCTCTGAGTAAACACTGCAGGTGTGCTTTAGTTTTATCTTACAGGTGTACAGCGTGCACAGAAAGGTTAAAGGTCGACTGGGTCTTTAAGTATTTTTACTAGAATTATCTCCTGTTGCAGAGTCGTATCTATGGTTGCTCCTATTTACTGGAGCAGTGAACAATGTTTACATTGCATTAGAACATTATGGGATGGTGATGATTCCTCCAGGTATTAGGAAGGCCTATGTGTTACAAGGAAACTTTCTTTTTTTTATTTAATTAATTGGTGTAAGTGTTTGATGAGTTTAACATCTGTTTGTCGTCTCTCTCTCTCTCTCTCTCTCTCTCTCTCTCTCTCTGTCTCTCTCTCTCTCTCTCTCTCTCTCTGTGTCTCTCTCTCTCTCTCTCTCTCTCTCTCTCTCTCTCTCTCTCTCTCTCTCTCTCTCTCTCTCTCTCTCTCTCTCTCTCTCTCTCTCTCTCTCTCTCTCTCTCTCTCTCTCTGTCTGTCTGTCTGTCTCTCTCTCTCTCTCTCTCTCTCTCTCTCTCTCTCTCTCTCTCTCTCTCTCTCTCTCTCTCTCTCTCTCTCTCTCTCTCTCTCTCTGTGTCTCTGTCTCTCTCTCCCCCCCTCTCTCCCTCTCTCTCTCTCTCTCTCTCTCTCTCTCTCTCTCTCTCTCTCTCTCTCTCTGTCTGTCTGTCTGTCTGTCTGTCTGTCTCTCTCTCTCTCTCTCTCTCTCTGTCTGTCTGTCTGTCTGTCTGTCTTTCTGTCTCTCTCTCAGTACTTCACCTGCCTCCTGGTGATCCTCATCGCTCAGATCACAGCCGGCGCTCTCATCTACTTCCAGAAGGACGTGGTGAGTGATGTCACTTCCTGTCACTACGAGAGGAATGTGGAGGGTTAACACACCTGTTCACGCCCGCGACGTGTCACAGCACGCCGTCATTAGAATATCTGTTGCTATGAATAGAAGTTAAACAGTTAAACAGAGTTTACTGCCTGATGAGGCCACACATGGTCGACGCCAGTAAACTGACATTGAACCTGGCAGCGGTTGGTGCTGCAGCGCCCCCTGGTGTTTGATCTCAGGTATCTTTATAGAGGAGTTTTAGGATTCAATATTTGTGACTTTCTGAACTTTTAAAAAACATTTAAAGTGTATAATAAGTGTGCACTGTTGTAAATTAGGGCTGCAGGGCAATTTGTATCATTTTATTGATTAAATGATTAGTTTTTCGGTCCATAAAAGTCCAACTTGGCACCTTTTTTAAAGGTCCACAACTCAAAACAACAATAACGGTAGAGAACTGTAAACAGTGAACTCAGTAACTGAAGGACGTTTGTGTTATCTTTATATTTACATTCATCCAGAAGAAAATGTAAATTTTATCAGATTATCATAAAGGTGACAAACCTGAGAGCTCATCACTGAACTAACCAGGGAAAGTTTTACTCCTGGAGAGTAAAGCTGTGTTAATGTAGGACTGAAGGATTAGAGACGGAGAGCATTTACAAAATAACACTAAATCTGTTAACTTTAGGTTTAACAACCTTTAACGTCAGTCTGAGGCGTTTCATTTGTTTACTTTACTTCCTTATTATTAAGCATAAAGCCGGATATGTCGAAGCTTTCAGACAAATCTTAAGTTTCTCAGACGTAATTACAACTTGGATGTTGACATAAATGGTACTTACGGAGCTGGAAACTGGTAATTACGGTAACTCGTGACGTGAACGCAGCATCAGGTCTCAGGGAAACACAGATGTTTTGCATTTGAGTTAATTACTGGGTCCATACAAACATCTGAGTGTTCCTCCTCGTATTAAAGTGCTGCTCTACAGTCACAATCTACTAAAAATACCTCATCTACACAGACGGAGAGGAGGCTGTTCACTTGCACATGAACCGACTGGTTGCAGTTCCTCTAACGGCCACTAGAGGCTGGCTCCAGCAGTGAGTCGATCTCCATAAGGACTCATTAACATTAAATAAACATGTTTACAGCCTGGTACCAAAACCCTAAGTTCCACGTTCATGACGACTGTAAGGAAGGTGAATCGTTATATAACTCATCTGTTTAAATTATATTAAGGATTAAAGTTATGATATATAATTAAGGGCGAGGTCGCTTTGAGTGACAGGTGGTTATTTCCAGTAATCAGGCTTCATTCAGCTCTTTGCCCGTTTGTCCGTTTTGTTCAGAAACCTTTTAATTACGTCACACTGCAACAATTTTAACATTTAATAACTTTATTTAATATAATATTTTATATATATATATATTTATTCTTAATCTTAATTTTAAAGCTATGAAAATAACATATTTAAACACATAACTGTTTGTCTTTGGAGGACAGTATCACAGAATCTGAATGGCAACATCACCGTAAAACACTTTTACTACCTTTTTAACATGTTAAAACAATCAAAAAATATCAATAATCTAATTGTTTGAGCTCTATTAGACTTATTATATGTGTGGACTACAAACATGGAGGCTCAGAGATTCACAGTTTAAGAGACAAAGAACAAGGAAGAACATTTTTAAGATTTTAACATGTGAAAAACATTCGTACTTTTAGTACTTTTAGTTTTTAATAAAGTGGAACAACCTGTAAACTGAGTGAGATTCTCTGCACATATTGTTTATAAATTGTGTAATTTTTATGATTTTTGTTCAAGCAAATAAAACATTTTTCTTTTTAAAAACGAGAGCAAAGAGTTCAATAAAATGGAGCATTAGTGTCCTCGTTTAAAGCCAAAGGAGTCCTTCAGACTGCAGACAGTCTCTGTTTATTGTATCTGAAGGTAATAACCTCCTCCTGCTCTCATAAAGAATAAATCTGCTCTCACAGAATAAGATTTAAAGGTTTTAGCAGAGGTCACTGAAGGTGTCTGAATCTGGTTCCTGATCTTCTGGATAACCTACATATTCAGACTTTTACAGATCTGCCAAATTCTTCACCGCAAGAATTCAGAGCTGGAGCCGGCTGACATACCGAAGTCCTGAAGAAGAATTGTGATTATTCAGGAATGCAGCTGAAATATGGCTCTGATTATTGATTATTGTTTCAACCATTTAGTGCTGTTTAATATCCTCCAGGTTCCCTCTTTGTTAAAGGACGTTCAGGCTTTTGGGGAGAAAAACTTAATATATAAGAAGCTAGCAGTTGGGTAAAGAAACAAATGGGAAACAGCTGTTGTGGTTGTTGTTCTTTGGTTTTTGTATAGATTACCAAACAAACTGTAGACAGAGCTATGCTAACTGTTTACCTTTGTTTTCAAGCCTTTGTGCTAAGCTAACCACCCTAACCGTCAGGAGCGTTTGTTCGCTATGATTGGAAGAACAATGTTTCACCCTCATTAATAATTCACAACTTCGATTTAATTCGATTAATGCAGATTACGTGCAATCAACGATTTATTAGATTAACTAGTTTTGTTAACATAAGCTCAGTTAATATGTCGCTTTTATCTTTTGACCACCTTCAAAATGTGGTTAATGTCTCTTCTAAATAGTTTTATATATCTTCAAATATCGAATCAAAACCAAATTTATCTGAAAGATTAACTTGAACAAACATCAGTGTGATTAAAAACGACCTAAAATGACAGAAACCATGTTTAGGAAACGTTTATTTGAAATGTCTCACCGCTCGGAGCCTGTTTATTTTATCACCACAAAACTACTTCTTCATCTTCTTTCAGCTGCACGAAGAGACGTCCAAGATCGTCGCCAAGGTTCTGGACAACTACACCGGCAACAACTCGACCACAGAGCAGACCTGGGACTTCATCCAGAGGAATGTGAGTGGAAACCACTGATCTGGGCTCAGATACATCATGTTTTAAATGGGTTTATCCGAAAGGTACCACGATAAATAAAACATTAAAATTAAATGTTTGATTATTCTGGAAGCCTCATTTCTGCCAATGTGATTTAAGAAAAAGGAACCGGTTAGTCTTTATAATTGACTCTATAACTGAATATAAGTGAATATAATTGATAAAGTTTCTCAATATTTTGACTTAGTATCTAAAATTATGACTTATTTTCTCGAAATAATGAGAAACTTTCTCAATGTTTTGATTTATCATCTCATAAAATAATGAATTTGTGACTTTAATCATTATTTTGAGAAAGTTTTTCATTATAATAACTTTCAGAATCATTATTTTCCTGTCACATTGGTAGAAATGGATCATTATTATTGGCCGATATTGATCTGTCAGACAGTCCCAATGATCTGATGTTTGCCTGTCTCCCTGTCTGTCTGTCTGTCTGTCTGTCTGTCTGTCTGTCTGTCTGTCTGTCTGCCTGTAGATGGAGTGCTGTGGCTGGACCGGTCGTGCCGACTGGAAAGATAACGCGATCGTCATCAACAGCAGCATGCAGCTGTTTCCCTGCTCCTGCCAGAATGTCTCGGTCGCCACCGGGAACTTCTCCGACAGCGGATTCTGCGAGGCTGAGACGCCCGTTTACGATGTGGTAAATTATTATTATTATTATTATTATTATATATTATATTCTATCCCCTGTTTGCTGTGTTCTTCATCCTCCTCCTCTGTTAATGTTCTGTTCGTCTGCAGGGTTGCGCTGACAGCGTGGAGCGTTGGATCCTCACCAACATCGGGGTCGTCCTCGGTATCTGTCTCGGAGTGGCTGTGATTGAGGTACAGCAGCACTTCACTATATCTTTACACAGCAAATATACATATATATTATTTAGATTAAGATTTAATTATTATGTCTTTCTTGAATTGATCGATTAGTTAATTGATTATAATTAAACACTCCTGAGATCCATTGTTTAATAAAATGTTAAGATAAAAAAAATAGGTGAAATATTTTGTTTATTTAACATATTTTGCAGATTTGAAATTATTTTAAGATAAAATATTTGTATTGTTAAAATATATTTTTTTTAAACATATTTTAGGATAAAATATTCTTTATTTTACTTTATGAAATAAAAATATGTTTTAGGGTTTTTTTTAATTTACAAAAGGATTTTAAGATATAAAATATTTTGAAATATTAATTATTTTGTAGATTTTAAACTATTTTAATAAAATATATTTTATTTTACAAAAATAAATTATTTTATATCTTAAATTATGTTTTGATATAAATAGTTTTGTAGATTTAATATGAATTTTTTTAAGATAAAAATATTTTTTATTTTGTTTTATAGAAAAATATTTTATATTTAAAATTATTTTATAGATATAAAATATTTTTAAATATATTATATATATATATATATATATATTAAAATTTTTTATATATATATATATATATATATATATATATATATATATATATATACATGTTTATATATATATATATATATATATATATATATATATATATATATTTATATTTATATATTTCAAAATATTTTATATCTATAAAATAATTTTAAATATAAAATATTTTTCTATAAAACAAAATAAAAAATATTTTTATCTTAAAAAAATCAGTTTATATAAAATCAGTTTATATAAAATCCGTTTATATAATATTTTAAGATATAACATAGATAATATAAATGATGATTTCTGTGTTTTGTCGACAGCTGCTGGGGATGATTCTGTCGATCTGTCTGTGTAAGAACATCCATACGGAGGATTACACCAAAGTGCCGAAGTACTGAAGCCGATCGGAGGAAGTTAAACCGAACCAACGAGAGGGAAAACATAAAATAATGCATTTATTTTCTCCACCTTATATCTGGTGAAACATTTTGTCCAAATGTAAAATAATGTGTTTGCTTTATATTTTATTTGATTTTTCTTCTGGTTTTTTTTTAAAGTCCGGTTTCTTTCGAGCACTTTAGAGACTTTAGAGTGAAATAATAATTGATGAGGATAAATTAAAGGTCGGCGCTCTCGGGCTTCAGATTCCCTTTTAAAGAGAAATCCTGTTTATTGTCTGAGAGTTCGAGAGATTCGGGGCGACGGCTGATTCGGAACAACTGGAAACAAAAAAGTTAGTTTTTATTTTTCTACGCCAGCGTTTTTTGAGTTATTGTGAAATGTTTTTAGTACTTTTGTATATAATTTTAGTCTTTTTATTTGTGTGAATCCCCAAAAAGTACTGCCAGCTGGTCTCTCCTTTGGATTTATAAAAGTTTGTTTTATGTTATTCTATAATAATAATAATCCGATACTAAAGAGGAAACAGGATATTGAACAGTATCACTCCCAGTTTACGATTATCTGTGACGACAAGCAGAAACTTTTTTTTAAAGTTAGCTTTAAGTTGGTTTATATAAGGCCCGTATTCTACCCACGTTAACATAAAACGAGTGTTTGAGGAGTGAAATGTTTCTTTTAACCACTTTTTTAAAAATATATGAACTTTAAAAATACAGCAGGAGAAATATTTTCCATCTTGAAACTTTTGAAATTTGTTTATACAGAAAAAAACATTTTTAAATTGATTTATGTACAATTTGATGTTGTTTTTATAATGTACAAATCCTCCTTCCTGTTGTTTTTCATGTACAGTCTGTATGAAAACCATTCCATTAACCTTTATAATAGTTTCTAAGACAAAGAGGGTACGTATGTTTATAACTAGATGGACTTCTGGTAGCTAGCTGGATTAGTAAGTGTGTACTCACACCATTCATTATATTCCATTTTGCCAATAAACTGATTACAGTTGTTTGTTTGTTTGTTTGTTTGTTTGTTTTTATATCCATTACTGGAGCAGATACTTCCTGTAGCTGCAGCCTTAAAGGTTATATACACAAAATTACACAAGAGTGGCGAACCAGAGCTTCTTAGGCCAAAATAATGAGACAGAAATCAAATAAAACTCATTAAAACCGACTTTATTGTTTCCAATAATCACTAGTTCTGGTTTGGTGGAAACAAATCTTTAATTCATCGAGTTGGATAGAAAATGTTCCTGAAAATGATCTCAAAGTAATCTAACATAAATCCTCGGGGACAAATTCTTCACAACATAAACAACAAACATAAAATTATTGTTCATTGGGGCGAAGGTACACCAGACTTCATTGACAAAACCATTAATTTTATCTAGCAGATAATCTTAAAACACACTTAAAACTGGACAGAATCAAAGTTCGTCCACTAACAGTAGTAGTTTCTGCCACTGACAGACTCAGGTTGTTATTGTCAGTGTCTGACAGCATTATGGAAAGGATCCCTACAGAGAGAGACCTTTAGTTTAACCACAAACAGCCGTAATATCACTATCACTCTCCACCAGACTCCAGAGACAAAAACACTCATTTTACCTTCAGATCATCGTAACTTCATTAAAGTGGACAGAAACAGAATAAAACTCATTAAAAGCGTCTCTGTTAGTGTTTCCAACAATCACCAACTCTGGTTTGGTGGAAATAAATCCTTAATTCACCGACGTAGATGATAAAAACAGCAGTTTCAGTCGGAGCAGACCGGCTATGGAAACAAACCACAGAGAGGATACAAATATTTATATATATAAACTGGTGTTTTTGAGCTGCAATTTAAAATATTAAGTTAATAATCCAAACTTACTTTTATTAGTTTATTCAACAATCTTGGACATACAGAATTGTAAATATGAATATATTCTATATTTTGAAGGTTCAAGTTTATCTGAGGAAGAAAATTAAATTATCTTTAAAAGTTGTTAGTTGGCAAAACTGTTTGTAAACTTAAGAGTTTGAGTTCGGCTCAAAACTCAAAAATCTAATGTAGACTTTAAATTATGAGAACTTTTACATTTTTACAGTATATTAAATTATGGAATACAGATATTTTTGTTTTTAAAACTAAAAGATTTAAGTTTTTCTAGAGAAGAAAACTAAATTATCATCAGTAATTAGTCAGTTTTTGTTTTTGACAGTGTGTATGTTGGCTTCCTGTCTCACTTGAAAATAATAAATAAATATATATATATATAATATATATATATATAAATACATATATATATTATATTTTGTTTTATATATAATATATATATATAAATACATATATATATAATATATATATAAAAGAATGAAAGGACCAATAACAACGAGCTGCACACCTCCTGCAGTTCCTGTCTGAACCACTAGAGGGCGACGTCACTCTACACAAAAACCACACGAGCCAAAATGAAGTCTGTTTGTGTCAGAAAGTAAAAGTTTATATTACATTTTATATTTATTCTGATATTCAAAACTTGTTTTATTTTTAAGCTTAAATAATAACAGTTTGTATTTATGTGATTAATTTATTGTATGAGAGAGAGAACTGAAAACAATGAAACTACCTATAAATACGGACAAACTATAATATAATATAAATAATCAGGTTTATATTTACAGCAGAGTGCTGTTATTATTAGAACTGTAATAAAAGTGATTATCTGTGAAATTACAGTAATTATTGTTGTTTTCACTGATAAAAACAGTTTACTAATGTTTATACACTGATAAACAACATTTATTCAATGTTTTCTTCCATAATTATACAAGATATCTGTCAGTTAACAAACTAATCCATGTTAAATTACACAACAAATACCTTTTTCACTGTTAATGTCACTAATTTTACATAATTTTAGAAATGTATTAACGGTTTTAAACTTGAATCTAACAGTTTAATCTATGAAATAACAGAAAAAATTATAGATTTTATAATAATATAGTCTTTTTATGTGAAATAATTACATTTTCTTTAAATAAGCAGTAATTTTATGATTATTTAGAGTTATTTCACATTATGTTACATTAGACATGTAAATTCACAGGCTGCTTTTTTAACTTAACTATATATATTATTTTTTTTCATATATAATATATATAAGATAAAAAGGAGAAAGCCTGTAAACGTACAGATTATTTTACAGTATATAACCTGTAACCACAGAGTGACGTTTCCATCTCATATTGTTTCATTTAAAGTAAATAAATCTCCAGTATTTAACAGAGAAACAAAGATTTGAGTGAATCCAGCTGCGATGTTTCGTCTTTCCGTTCCTGTTCATCATCAACGACGCCTCCGATTTATTAAACAGGGCACAAGTGTTTGTTCACTAACTCCATGGTCCTGTTCAGATGACTGTATCACACACACACACACACACACACACACACACACACACACACACACACACACACACACACACTTGTATAACGGTGACATTTAGCCTGACAACCACCTTTAACACACACACACACACACACACATTCAGCCTCATCCCACGTCCGTCCAACACTCACATCCAACTGCTGCCTGGAGCAAAGTGTTCAGAAATCACTGCCAAAACTCTGCATGTATTATCCTCCACACAGACAAAAAAAAACACACACACACACACAGACACAGACACACACACCACACACACACACACACACACACACACACACACACACACACACACACACACACACACACACACCATGTTAAGGCCTCTTTATGTAACTTTTGTTTAAAGTGTTTCAGGATCATTTTGATGTCCCTCTTTGAGTCGATGTCGGTGGAACTGGATCATGTTTTATGGAGGAAAGCTGATTTACAGAGTACCAGGGATGTGTTGGTTGGTGACACTGGCTGCAGGATGAGATGTTTTCAGGACGTCAGAGGAAGCTAAAGAAGCCGTCGGACAATATTAAACATCAGACTTTCAGTCGCTGTCGAGAGCTTCGTGAAATAAAAGTCTTGATGTTTGCTGTCGGTTGTCGACTGGCTAGTTTTTGATCTTAAGTAACGTAAATCATACATAATATACATCAATTATATATATTAAATTGTGAAAATAAAGATTCTTTTGTCTGTAAAACTTAAAGATTTGTGTTTTTAATATCTATATTATTACATTATTAAAACATTTAGTGAAGACAGTTCATGTAAATCCCAGGAAAAAGGCAGAAAGTCTGGAGTTAAAGTCATTATAATGAGAAATAAATAAAATTTTTCTCATTATAAAGACTTACAGAATCTTTATTTTCCATCACATTGGTAGAAATGTTCTTCCATAGTTGTCCAATAATCTCCTATAATACAATAACACTGTCACAATGTTCATCGTGTGTCGATTGATCCGCTCTGGTCGCCTCGGTAACGTGTGAAGACGAGTTTCTCAGGAAATTAATAAATAAAGTTAAATTCAGAGTCACACACACACACACACACACACACACACACACACACACACACACACACACACACACACACACAGGATCACAACAGACGTCCTTCAGCACAGACGGTGAGAAACAACAGCTGACAGGAAACGGGCAAGACACACGCACACACACACACACACACACACACTCATACACTCACACACACACACACACACACACACACACACACACACTAACATACACACTCTCACTCACACTCACATACTCACACACACACACACACACACACACATACTCACACACACACACACACACACACACACACACACACACACACACACACACACACACACACACACACACACACACACACACACACACACACACACACACACTCCACAGTCCAGACCGGTGAGATCATCATCAGCCATGTTAAACATAATGTAATTTCAGCTCACAATGAGGGCGCAGAGAGGAAGTCATTAGTGATAATATGGATGTGAGGATGCGTGGGGTCGACCCTTCATTCACAGCCAGGGGGAGGAAGAGGAGGAAGAGGAGGAGGTTTAAACTCTGTCGAAGGATTTCTGATGAAGTTCTGCAGGTTGAAAACTGTTCAGAGAAAATCTCAAACTGCAGCAGTTTCCTTAAAGTTCATTTACATCTTTTTATTTTCTGCTTTATCCTGTAAAACCTGAGAACGTCTTTATAAAAGCAGTTAACATAAATTCATTCATGATCAATTGATTATAAATTGTTTTTATCGTAATGTAATAATTTGCTTTAGTGGAAGAAAACTTCATTCAACTTCACATTTGTTTACTTTTCTGTACTATACTATACTGTACACTGTATATAGACTTTATTTTTAAATATATTCTGCTCACACATTTTAAATAGGTTTGTAGAAATGCTGCAGAACAATAACAATAAGTAAAATTAATCCTCCAGAAATATGGAGTCATTTAGTCCGATCAATTAAAGCTAGGCAGAGAGATAGGCTACGTCAAAAAAATTATGTTAAATATTAAAACCTTTTTTTCTTATATCAGTTTGTCTCCACCCCAGAATAAACAGTCTGAACATTTGTGTTAAGACTTCTTCCTGAGTGGCTAACGAGCTGATAAGTAAAATGTTAATAAATCTATTTAAAAAGGAGGTTTCGGTTGTTTCAGATCTGAAGCTCCTGCTGCTTCGCTTCCTGTAAGTTGTGTTTTTATACGTTTGTTTTTGGTCCTTTGGGCTTTAAGCTCGACACTCCTGCGCGTACAGGAGGCCGATGTACCGTGAAGACCTCACCTGGAGTTACTGACATATCTGTACATGTGCACAGCGTCTCTCAGGTGTCTTTCCTAACAGCAGGAAGAGTGTTTGTTATTCTGTATGTGCTGAGACCCAGGAGTCTTCCTCCTCCTCCTCCTCCTCCTCCTCCTCGTGCAGTATCAATATTCACAACAAAAGGATTCACTCTGCATTAGAGTGAACATTTGTCTGTATTTTGCAACAACATTTATTATTTATATCTTTAATATTTGGAGTGAAGTGCTGCTGTAAGATATTTTGTAAGTAAAGCTTT